AAACAATGTTAGATAAAATACATATTAGATGTCAGGAGTGCAACACAATAATGTAAAATAGTGTACGTCACTTCAAAATCTAGTATTTTTTGTAAGAAAACTTCAAAATTCTCTTTTGGCTTAGATTTAAAAATTGACTTAAATGGACAAAAAAGTGATTTCGGGTGAATTTTATTGTTTCATATTTCTTTCATATTCAAACTTTTCAAACAAGAATTGAAAAAAATTATGTAAAATAACAATCTAAATTTTCCACATATACAAGAGAAGAAGCTCAATCAAGGTTTAGATTTAATAATTTATATCTCTGATACCGTTTTGAAGCATAAAAAACTACAATTTCTTTTGATTATGTATTTCAGAAAGTCTTTTTGGATGTAGTGATATTTTCTGTTTTCAAATAAAGTTTTACTTATAAAAATTCTGAAACTTTTTTAATCCAATTGTCTATGATATTGTAACTTCAGGAATTTTAACTAGAATGCATGTACAATATTTCCTGTATGAAATTTAAAGGCGGATTCCGCCTGGAATATGGGTGGAATATAGCAGGAATTGGCCAATTCCGGGCGTACTTGAGATGGAGATGGACTTTAGAAAAGTTACGCCCGAGTAGAAGAGGCGTCTACCAGGCGTCATATCTACTTTCCGGGCGTCAATTTGCAAGTTCCCTGGCGTAAAATAGCAGGAAAATTGAAACAAAAATTACGCCTGGAACTTTCAGGAGGAGTAAAGCCTCTGATTGGACTATTTAATTATCAATTAAGGGTCATTTCAGATAGGAGGTTACGTTTGAATTTCATTAGGATTAAGGAGGGAGTTTAGTGTGAGTGAAATAGGAAATACATATATATCAATGTTAAGGCTTTTACACTTGTTCTGGATGACACAGTATCTGCTGGTAGGTGTGATAATTAATATCTGGTACCTACAACTGTATTTAGGTAAATTTGAATGTACAATGATTGTTATTGACTCTTTAGATTATTCGAGTTTCCTTGAACACATTCTGAGATGACATAGAGGCACTCAAACTGTAAAGTACTGAGTAAATGAACTGATGTTAAGTAATTTGTTTGATTCATTGTCCATGTTGTCATTTCTGGAGCGATAAAAAAAAAATCAAAAAGTTTATCAAATTCTTATACACATTATTTTACACTCCTGATGTTGTCTCAGTGTCCCTTATGCAAAGAAATAAAACAGCTTTCATGTTTTATAATATATTTTTATACTGTTTTAGATGTTAATGACTTGTCATTATGTTTTCTTACAGTTCAAAAGGATAAATTTTCAACTTTAACATTGTAAATCATAATTTTGCTTTTATTGGCTATATAGGTTTTTAGGTCACATAGTATTATATAATAATAATGACTTTCCAGGCGTAATTCTGCTTCAGGCGTTATTTTAGTTTCCAGGCGTAATTTTTTCCAGGCGTCATTTATTTTTCAGGGCGTAACTCATTTGCATTTTTCTCCTCAAATTCCTGCTCAATTCCTCTCTGTTTCCCCTTGGTTTACGCCCGGAACCTGTATATCACCATGTATGTAGTGAGACAAACTGACGCCCGGAATCCTTCTCAAAGTAGGCTTCTATTTCCCCTATATTCCGGGCGGAACATTTTAGTTTCCAGGCGTAATTTTTTTCAGGCGTCATTTTTTTTCAGGGCGTAACTCATTTGCATTTTTCTCCTCAAATTCCTGCTCAATTCCTCTCTGTTTCCCCTTGGTTTACGCCCGGAACCTGTATATCACCATGTATGTAGTGAGACAAACTGACGCCAGGAATCCTTCTCAAAGTAGGCTTCTATTTCCCCTATATTCCAGGCGGAACATTTCATACAGGATGATATATTAGTGAAAAAAATATGGGTAGTTGAATTTTTTCTAAAAATTTCAATTTGGTGGTCATTATTTTTTTAATTCACCCACAACACTACCTACAGGAGTCCTTTATTCATGTTCAAAGTGAAAGATATATTGTCTATACAAAGATTTGGGGGCACTTGATGACCATCATTTCTCACATACACACAACAAGGATTTTGTAATATGCGTTCACGTAAGACACAATAAAAACATATTTGACAAGAAGCCTCTCTGGAAGAAAAAATTCGTGTTACCCTTCTCGACTTTGCAAAGACCTTCAACAACATTCCCTACGAAAGATTTATCCATTGCACTATGACAGGATCCATGAGTCCAAACTGGATTAGAACAATTCCTTTTTTTAAAGGCAGAAAACAAGATGTTTCATTAAGTCATGAATCAGCAGGCAACCCTAGATGTAAAGTCGGAGATACCCAAAGTTACAGTAATTAATTAGCATCTATTCTTAATCTTCATTTACGACCTGTCATGCACTGTGACCGCACAAATAAATCCCAATGTCTGATTTAATCATGATTAACATATAAGTAAAAAACCTCAGCAACGTAGCATTTAGAGGCACTCTGGAGTGAATCGGAAAGGATCTTAAAGAAGCGATTACCATCAGCATCATATGCAAACAAAAATCAGTTTAAAAAGTTGCCATCGATATCTACAATCCTTTAATATGAATCAAGTACTTTGTAGTTGGGTGTTCACATCATTCAGAATTCCTCTTTACCAAAGCATGTAAGCAGCAAATACAAATTAGGCATAAGATCTGTTGGTTCGCTACCAATAACCCAACGCTTGCCTACAGGAAGTCAAATTGCAGGCTTTAATAATGCTTGACAGGACTGCTTTTAAGTACATGTATGTCTCTAATATTGGAATCTTTATCCAATCACAAAAAAACTTTGGCATGTTCAATCTCTGATTGCAAATTTGCAATGAAGAACTACTACTTTAGAGACTGATTATGTTTATAAACACACTACCACTAGTACAGGAGAATTACATAGCGGTCATGTTCTTCAAGATCATCAATACCAATTGTAGAAATCCTTTTTCATGACCTCTCGACCTTCAATACTAATCAAAAGCCAACGATTTTCAGTTGCATTATTTTTATTTTAGAGTGTAATGTACTGGTGCATATAATTGATATGTCTGTGGTACAACATTGAAAATCAACAACTTTTTCTCTAAAAAATAATGGAATGTATTAAATTATGCAATGCACACTCTAAAAAATAATGGAATGTATTAAATTATGCAATACACACTTGCAATTGGAGGTCTGGTATAACAGCAACATAAATACTGCTTGTTAAAAGCACAAGCTCCATCCAAACCTAAAGAAAATACTTGTACAATCATGTACTTTCATTTTTACATGCTATTTCCTAATCTTTAATCTTAGAAATTGATAAATCTACTTGTCCAGAACAAATACACTTTGTCAAGTCAATGTCATGTGAAAAATTAAAAATTGGAAGATACACAATATCAGTATTAAAATAACTTGAGATCTACAAACATTAGTTTGTTTTAACAATGTTATAAATAAATACTGAGACAATTACATTGTAAATTATCATTTAATAAAGTCAATAATCATTTAATGTTTTTAATGTTTTATTACATCAAAATTAAAATTACAGTACAAAATATTTTGCTTATGCTATAAAGCTTTTTTAAAAAGAAATTTCTAAAGCTAAAATTCTTAACAATTCCATATTAACATATACTTAAAATATTTTGATTCTTTTTGAAATTTACATAAACTTATTCATAGAACTAATGAAAGGAAATATTTGTTTGATATTATTTTTTAATGCTTTAGTTTGTGAAACATTTTATCTGGTAAAAATTTTTTTTTTCTTCTTGTATTGAATTTTGTACTGCAAATGTACAGTGATTACCATAAACCAACTATCATTTGCGTCTTTTATTTGCAATTTATCAGATTAAAATCATTCCACGACGATTAATGTTAAAGATTGGGAATACATTATACATAAATATACAATTAAATTTTAACGTTTGTTGTGAGAAAAACTTGCTGGCAAAAGAAGGTTGTGAAACTCACACAAATTAAAGTTGGTTTACAGTAATAATGCAATCAATAATCTTCCTTATGCTATATCAATTACAAATTAAAGCAAATGTAGTGATGCTAGTAAGAACTGTTGCGATAATCAACAAAATAAAAAAATAGAAAATAAATTTTGTTAAACTGTATTCATGTGAAAAAAAAGACATACAACCTTCAAAAAACTTTCAATAAAATAAAAATTTGACATTTAAAAAAATCTATCACAATTCTGAAATGTGGACCAATAGCATTTCTCTAACACCTAATGCCTAAGAAATATTAAAAAATATCGGTGATTTGACAATTTCATCCCACTGGAAAAAAAAAATATTGGCATTCAAAAACCTCTAATGTGATATTTTCTCAACACATAATCTTAACTGTATGTGCCTGTTTCTAACAAGCAATTCAAGTAAACATATGGTCCAACACGTTTATCATTTAAACATCATGTGTATGTAAAACTTGAGCACCTACAGTGTATATCAAAAATAAAGTACAAAAACATCTTTTAAACAACAACAAACAATTTCATTTACAAAGCAAATATTTGATAGAAACCATTAACTTAATATCTCAATATCTCCAAACCCTTATGGCCCTGGAATCAAAAACAATTCAGACAAGTCCAAATTGTATACTGTCCTGAAATGATGCAAATCAATCCAAATCAATCCAAAATTAAATTGTTTTAAAAGTTTGCTTTGCTAGACTGCAGCTATTTATAATATTTTGAGTATCAGTTTATAGGTAATACCTCTATTGCTGATGACTCAAATTTTGATTTTAATTTACTCCGAGTCTTTTTCATGATTCTAGGAATACAAGCTTCAACAAATTAAAAACCAAATTAAAATTATATTTAAATGTATTTGGTATCCAGTTTTGAGTCTTTGAGAGATTTCATATCAAAACAATGTTTTCTATTTCTCCAAAAATTACATTAAATTTGACAATTTGAATTTGTTCGAATTCTTAAGACATGTTATATTTTTTTTCCAATTATTTCATATCTACATACATGTACATATAAAATGAATTGGTTAAAATTAAGTTAAATTTTCTCAAGTATTGATGTAAAATAAGCAATTTTTTTTTATAAGAATATGGCATGTGTCATACAGTATCAATTACTGTTAAATACAATGTACTTACACATACTTACACATGTACATGTATTAAACAATACTACTTTGCTAATTCTATCAGCAGTATCTACATCAGTGACAACATAGGTGACAGGACTTTAATCCAGAATTTTTCAGAAAATATTCATTTTCTTCTATGAACACATAGTGACTGAAAAATAATCTGAAGGAACACATCAACTTCAATACATTAATAGGAAAAAAACATTTTCAGTTATATAAAGTACAGTTTCACTTGGTTGGATTGAATATTAATTACTTCTTGAAATGGGGAGAAAAAAAAACATCTGTTTTCTTTTTATTACAGTCATTTTAAAAAGTGTGATTAGTAATTGTGCAAAGGTGAGCATTATAATACAGGTTCATACAAAATTTTCATCAGTGTTGGTGCAAATGAGGAATGAGTCCATCAGTTTGGGTTGAATCAATTGCTGGTTGTCTATAGCACTCAGGTCCTCAAGTTTGTTCAGGGAATTTATCTTTCGAAGAGCAGCCTTCAAATACAAAAAGAAATAATAAAATATAAAATAATAATAAAATACACTTGAAAAACAAGTCTTTATTTCAAAATTCTTGAAACAATTTTTAAGTGTGCCTAAACATGCTTAATTATATGGCAAATGTTTCAACTGCTATACTTGGTATTAATATATTGAATATATATCAAAATTTAATATCAAATATATTTGATATTAAATTTAAACAAGTGAAAAGGTATCATTTATCAATCCTGCAGTTTGAAGATCATTGAATACAATCTATTATACAAGAACTTATTTCCTATTTTGTATTTAATAATTATATATACAGTCAAACATTGTTATCTCGAACTCAATGGGACCAAGAAAAAACTTTGAGATATCCGAGGATTCGAGATATCCAGGGTAAAACACTTAAAGAATAAGGGGTTGGGACTTTGAAATCACTTTAACATATCCATGGTATTCGAGATATTAGTGTTTGAGATACCAAAGTTTAACTGTACCTTAAACATGTCTACCAATGGTAGAAATAAATTCAAATGAATAAACACATTTCTATTATCTAACTACAATAAAGTAGGAAGAAATATAAGATAAAAACCTGGTGTTTAAAGAAGGATTAGAGAAATCAACAAAAATTTGACTCTGGCTAATAGGAAATAAAATTCAAATGATAACTGCTTCATACAATTTACTTCATTTTTCAATCTGACCACTTAGTTAAGTTGCCGTATTTTCGGCTAATAGAATAGAGTGAACTTAGGTTGCCAAATTATGCAAAATTTCCAAAGTCAAGGAAATTTTAGGACTCACCAAGCAGGCCACAAGTACAGCATCACTACTACTCCTCTCCTGTTTATCTCTACACAGCTGGATCAGTCGAGGAACTCCTTAAAAAAGAAAAAAAAAATTATAGTGAAACATACTCACATAAAGCAGAGTTCAAGGAACAGACAATTTTACATTTTGTATAAAACATGAGTTGTTATATCCAGTAAGTTCATAATACATTTTGCAGTAAGCCTGAATTCATTATAATCATGTGTGATGTTACCAAGCTTCATTTTTCATCTACTTTAAAAAGATTGTAAAATGAAGATCTGCTTTATGCCCTTATTAACTAAAGCAACTCAACATCACCATTACAATATCATAAATTTTTCAACATTGAGTTGTCTGGTTCACTCAAAACTTGTATAATAATACAGTAAACCAACTATTATTCATGACAACTTTTATTCACCATTGGTCAGTTTCAAATCCATCCATGACTTTTAGTTTTCCAGACTTTGAAAACATTTTACTTAAACTGCATGATTGTTTGCAATGAGAAATAGTGACAGGTACAAGATGGTTGTGAAAGTCACCAACATTTCTTGGATGCAAAAATACAGTCATATAATTTGGTTTACATGTATTTTGAAGCATTGCAGAATGTCAATGTCATCTTATATACAGCTTTTCAAATTTTATTTTCTGGAACACTATTTTTTTCCAGTCATGTACAAGATGGAGTATATATACCTTCTGCTTTGATTATGGTAGCAGCATTATTCTCATCTCTACACATCCTAGTTAAAGCAATGGCTGCCTTCTGCTGGACCCTCTCACAAGCTGCAATTTCTGCTGGTGTTTTATAATCCAGTGGACTCTCATGCAGTAACTCCAGACAAATGTCTATCCCACCACTAGTGACCACATCCTGGCGACAGACATCCACAGCAACCATATTTGCCAGTATGGTAGCTACCTAAATGTGCATGAAAATATATGAAAGCCCCATCTCTTCTGGTGCCAAAGTTATGGCCAAGGTGAATTTTTTTTTAAAAGTAGATCAAACTTCAAGGTCATGAGGTTGAAAATCATCATTTATTGGGAAAGGTATTGTCACAGGTTAGAAAAATGTAAATTAAGAAAGCCCCATCTGGTTCATGTGCGTTAAGTTATGGCCAAGGCTAAAATTTTGGAAAAGTAGGTCAAACTTCTAGGTCAAGAGGTCAGAAAACAAAATTTTTTTTGGATAGGTCTTGTCACAGATAATGCACATGTAAAATATAAATGCCATAACTTCATTATGACTAAGGTTAAAGTTTAAGTGACACATAGAGAAATGGTTTAACAGACAAAGGGATGGAAGGAAAGAGAGATTGAATGCATCAGCCCTTTTATGAAAGCTTGGGACAAAAAATATCATTATGTCCCCAGTTACGTATACTGTTTAACAAAATTAAATTACTGAAAAAGGACAAAAGAACATTTGAGGAAAATGAAAACATTTGAGAAATAAATTCTTACTCCAGAGCATGTTCAAGTAATTGAAGAAAGAAAAATATTTCTTTTTTCTATAACTTATTAGAAAATTTCCTTTATCAGCCTTTTGCACTATAGATTTCTGAAATACATGTACTATTAAAGTCTGAAACATTCATTTAAGTTAATTAATTTATGATTACAATGAAAAAATAACACTGCAACTGGTGACAGATACATGTGCTTAGATAGGAGTTAACTCTATGTGTGGGCCGGTTAATCAAACACACTTTAAAATACTATTTGCACAATACATGCCCCTACCTGGTCTTTAGAGAAGAGAGATTTGGCAATGTTTGACTGACAGGAAGAGCAGAGAATTCTGGGAGCTTGAATTTTCTGCAGGATTTCACAAGTGCTGCTGTCCATAAAAGTCATGTTGGCAATGGCAGCAGAGGACAACAGAAAGATTTCCTCTGTTTTTGTAGAACTACACAAACCTGCAACAGCACAAAAGTATGATTCATTTAATAAATCTGACATTACATATTAAATTTTGAAAGCAGCCATTCTGATGACAAATTTACAGTAAAACTCGTTTAGCATGAACATGGATATAGCGAATTTAAGGTTATAGCAAAGTTTTTTGCAATCCTAGGAAAAATTCTTAACAATTCCTTGTAAAATTTTTTGGATATAACGAACTCAGATATTGCGAATTTACAATTACATACGTATAGCGAACCGATTTTGTGTCCTCTAGAAGTTGAAAATAATGTACATCTTTTATACATACATATATATATTTATTTATTTACATCTTTTATAGCGAATTTCAAAATATCTAAATTTTTAAGATATTGAACTGACATAATTTTATATGTATTTATATTTAAAACTCAATTCTTCTAAAAACCTTTGAACTCCAAAGTAAATTTAGTATTTTATACTTCCCCAAATACATTTGGTAGACACACTTGAAGGAAAAAAATCTATATTACAAATTCATTGTATATACTTTAAGGAATTCTTTATACGGATACAACAAATTACAGATATAGCGAAGAAAATTCTTATGTCCCCAGAACTTCGCTATAACAGAGTTTTACTGTATATGTATTACCAAGAAGATTTATAAGAAGATCCTCCATATTATCCATCATGCCTGACATCTGGTGGGCATTCTCTAGACAGGGGGAGGTAACTTGAGCTATGACCCCTGCTACTTCACCTCTCACTGATTCTCTGACCTCTGGATCAGACAAAAGGTCGAGTAAACACCACATTCCTCCCTCCTGTAAAAAATATCGATAAAAAATCAACAATTTTCATTCCTTAGATAAATATAAATGTATATATAGAGCTGCTGTGATTAACAGAATGAACATCATGTATGTTAGTCTTATAACTATATATACATCTTCAGGGATCATGACTTTTCTATGAAGCAGTTAAATCTTCCATGGGCTACATGGAATAAAGGAAAATATTAGCAATCACTTTGCTAAGCTAAAGATTAACTCAAAGACAGACCATTATTTAGTAAACTGATGACACTACTGCCTCAAATACACTAATAAAAATAAACTGTTTGCCAAATATCCATGTATTACATTATCTGATCCTACCTTCTCTATTTCAAATAAGCTTTCAGTGACACAACTGATGGTGGCTAGAGCCCTAAGAGACTGGGCATGACAGAATCTCAGATTCTCTGTCCTACAGATGTCTAACAAAGCCCTCACTCCCCCTTCCTAAAAAAAGGAAATAAAGTCATCTTTTATAACAATCCATGATACAATGTGTTTTATTATTTGGATGGGTTCCAAACATTTTATGCAACCTTCAACAATTTAAAACATCCTGCAAGTCTGTGAATATACATGTACTCTAAATTGCTATGAAGAAAAACTACCAGCAAAAAAAAAATAAACTATTGAGCTTGTATAAAAATCACTATTATGGAAGGCGACTTTTTTTTTAGATCAAATTTTGTGGTTTATTTGGAACTTGTATGTAATTTTATGATTTTCTGATTACCAATAAAATAATAAAAATTAAAATTCTCATGTACAATTCCTGGAAAAATTTTTTCATGGATTTATTTTTGATAAAGAATGTTATTTTTGAAATATACAAAATTTCATCCCTCATAAATATTTCTTCAATCTCGCTCTAACCCCAGATCTACAACAGCTTTGGTATATGTATTGGGATATTTACCCTGGCTAGTATATAACCCCAGATCTACAACAGCTTTGGTATATGTATTGGGATATTTACCCTGGCTAGTATATAACCCCAGATCTACAACAGCTTTAGTTTATGTATTGAGATATTTACCCTGGCTAGTATATAACCCCAGATCTACAACAGCTTTAGTTTATGTATTGGGATATTTACCCTGGCTAGTATATAACACATGTGCTCTCCTTCTAACCCCAGGTTAACAACAGAACCTATGGCTTGAGACAGCACCATGGGGTCATTAGCTTCATCCAAGATGTCTACAATTTTCTGTTAAAAATAATAGTTGATTGAATGATTGTAGATTCCAAACAAATGCATACAAGTCAAAATTTTCATTTGTTATATCATAGACTAGTATTATGCAAGTACATGCAATAATAATCATTACAATTCCTTCAAATCTTTTTGAATGTTTTCAACATACATAACTGACATAAATTCTAACTTTCTAAGATTTAAATGAAGACAAAATGCATAAATGTATTAACCTGCACCAGGTAACCCAGACAGAGGTCAACAAGGCGGCTGAATGACTGACCGAGAAAAGTCAGCTGATTGATGACGGGGATCTTAGAGGGACACTGGTTTTCCGAGTCAATAAAGGCACTATAGCAAGAAAGAAATAAAGTCTTAACTTTTCTGTGTGTTGTATCCTTATAATTTGAACAAGTTAGATCTTTTCTACATACAATTATAATAATATTATTGAAATACATGTAGCAATTAGTAAAAAAAAAAAAATCTAACTAAAAGGAAAAAAGACACAGTCATGTACATTTTAGTGACAAGTAAAATGCTGGTACTTATACAAGATACAAGATTTATTAGTCCAATTTGGGCCCCCGGAGGAGCAAAAAAGATTTACAAACATGAAACAAAGAATTAAGGAGGAAGTTATAACAAGTTGCAAAATTACTTAAGTTGCTCTCTCTTTCTCCTCACCTTTCTACTTGTTGGGCAAGTTTGGCACATTCACCCATCACAACTTCTTGTTGCTGAAATGAAAATATTTATACATTCCAAGGAATCACAGGACAGTTAAACAGAATTTATATTTTCAAATTGAGTCTGAGCTTTATATCTAGAAGCAAAAATACATATATATCTAATGAATTATGAACTTACAAATTGTCCATTTCATAATACATTATAAGCTCAACTGTCATCATTGAAGGATAGTCTGTCACCATTTATTTTTGAAAGCGTTCAAATAATTATACCCTCTAAACAGAATCCCTACTAAAATCTGACTGATCTCTAGAATATGTAGGGAAGGGTGTGGCCCTACAAAATCTGACTGACATCTAGGACATGTAAGGGAGGATTTGGCCCTAAAATTTTTTGACTCACTCTAGGATATGTATGGGAGGGGGGTGGGTGTGCTCTGGTTTGACTGACCTCTAGGATATGTAAGGGAGGGTTGGGCATATTCTGGTTACAGTCATTAATGAGTCCTCTGACATGACATGTCAGCTGTATGGTAAACGTCTGGACGGCAGACCAGTTTTCAGCTTCCACCAGTCTAAAAATAGAGCATTCAGGTTGAATTAATTGAACTTCAGTACAATAATCACACTTGTAATAAACGAGCAGTGATGTACATGTATACTACAGTAATGTAGCTATTTTGTGTACTACATACATCTGATATTAATAACAATTGTGTTTTGAAATCATTACTCAAATCATAATCTAATTAAAACATTTGCAAGTTTAAATGATTATGACTTTAATATTAAAGGCTTTGAAACTGTACAGTGACACACAATTCAACAATTTTTCATACAGTCATGTAACTTCTGACAGTCTTACACTTATTATAATTTATGTAATTTAAAACTTTATTTTCTTTAAATATTTGAAAAATTACAGTTTACAGTACTATTCTTATATATCTAAGACTTAACAATTATACATGTACTTCAAGATTTAAACACCCTACTACTGTACACCTTTTTTTTCTAAAAGTGTCTATAATTTGCTTCAAAATATCCCACAATGCCTTGTTATCAGTGCACAGGAGATTTTTTTCCTGTTTGTACAAGTACGTATACACACATGTACATGTAAGTAATACATGTAAAAAACTTACTTGAAAAGGACAGAAAATTCTCCACTGATGTCATTCGACTCATTTTTCACCACATCAATAGCACCTATAACACAGACAAAATGTTCAACATAGTTCTAACCTACAAGGGAGACAATCTAAACAAAGAATATCATCTACCAAGGACATTGTCTATCAAAAATTGGGCATAAAATGTTTATGTTTGTGCAATTATTTTCACAGATAATTCAAGCAGATGATTTGTCTTTAACTTGGATTTTTTTTTTTTTTTTTTTTTTTTTTTCATAATGTATAATATTGTTTGGGTAAATAAATCTCTAAAATCTCTATAATGCATCAACTTCATCTGATATATGCCTTGAGACTATACTTTAAATTAAAAGTCATAATCCATGTACGTATCTTTTATGTCAAGTGGTAGTAACCATGATACAAATAGACATGTATTCCATCAGATTGCAATCTTGCTTTTAAACTAACACATGTAATTCAAATGTTATAAACATTGTTTTGTTTATATCTTTTCCTCTAGAAAATAAAAATGCAAATTAATGGTTGGAAGACAATAAACAGCGTCAGATACAAATCATCTAAACTGGTCTTTAACTAAGTGGTGTATAATATAGTACTACAAGATTGTACTTGCAGGTGCTTGAGGCATACATAAACATAAATGTTTCACCTGCCATACAAACTAAAAGAAAATCAAGAGTACATTGAATATCATGTTTATGTTAATTGGTGTACATTTATAATTACCTACAGTAAGGACTGGGGACATAAACAGATGACAACTACATGTACGTATGAAATAGGAGAAATAATATCAACAACCTGTGTGCTAGTTCGCTGTATGATTTTTAATTAGGCATGTTACCTAACCTCATTTGTTTTGTTTGTTGTTTGTTTGTTTGTATGTTATTTAACATCCTTCTCAAGAATTTTTCACTCATATGGAGAAGCCACTACTTGCTGGTGGAGGGATGCAAATTTTTAATCTATGCTCAGAACTCAAGGCCATTGAGTAGTGAGGGATCATTTTTGTGCCAATACCTCCTGTGACACGGGACCTCGGTTTATGGAGTCTCATCCGAAAGAGTGGTCTCCACATCCTGCAGTTGTTTCGAACCCCCCATGTAAGGATCAACTCTTTACTCCACGACTAGAGCAAATATTCTAACCAATGCATCACACAGGCGACCAGTTATTTGAGAAGACATGAGATTAATAAAAATGAGTGCACAAGCATTTTTTTTAAAGGGTTCATTTGGTGAAAAGGCATAGGTAATATTTTCTGCACTAATCTAACATAGACACTCAGGTTCAATATTGGGAGAAATTTGGAGGAAAAAATAATAGGTGGTGTCTTTCTCATACTGTAAACTCAGTTATAACTACATGTATATCATTTGTGAATAATCTACATGTATAATCATATCATACAGTCCTACAGAGTTTTGGCTCATGAAGTTTTCTTTTTTTCCCTCCATTTTGGATCCTCCAAAGATCCTGCCTTTGACATATATCTTGTAACCTTAAATCAGGGTCAATAGAATAGTGCAAAGCAAACTTTATGTCAAAGCAGGTACATAAAGAAGAAAAACTTTAAGTGACCATGACCTAATTCAAATGATCATGATGCACCTTGTTTAAAAGAAACATCTGTGTCAGGACTGAGTTTTCAACATGTTCAAATAGTCCCTTCAAAACATTGGTCCAAGACACACTTTCAACACAGGCAGATAGCAGTATTTTAGAAAAATTTTCCCTAAGAGTTCTACCTTTTATGTGTGAGGTGTGGAATGCTGATTTTTCCACACTCTGGACAATGGACTTTCCCTGCAGTATATTCATACACTCCATCTCTGAGGCCCATCTGATGTCTACCAACCACTGCTGGACCGGGTCTTCTCTTCTTTTTCTCAGCCATGTCACACTACAACAGACATTACAGAACTCTGATAAAACAAATAACAGTCAAACCTCGTTATCTTGAACTCAATGGGACTGATAAAAAATTGAGATATCTAAAGATTTGAGATATCCATGCAGGGTTAAGTACTTAAAAAATATGTAGTTGGGACTTCCAAATCACTTCGACATATCCATGGCATTCGAGATATCAGTGTTAGAGATACAGAAGTTTAACTGTAATTAATGTTATTAAGCTGCACTACAAATTGGCATCCAGACATGACTTTATAGGTTACAATGCATAAATAGTTCAAAGTTATGAATTTTTATTTTATCCCCTTGAAAGAGGTGACAAGCAAGCTCACGTTCATTTTGAGCATGAAGTATTAGGAGTCCAATTGAATTATCAAGATAATGGTGGACACAACACACAAATGTATGTGTACATGTATTATATACATATATACAAGATTTTTTTTCCAAATATCTAGATCTTTTTTTACTTACCCAGATGCCTTAGTTTTCGTGTGTCGCAGCATGAAGAAGAAAGATTCAACAAATTTCTGTTTTCCTTTCTAAGATAATTTTAACTTAATCAGAATCTCCATGTCTTCACCATGTTCCTAATTCATTTCATTAATTATTCTGCCTACAGTTGCATCATTTACACAATACAGGATTCTTGTGTCTGAGACATCGTGAGTTGACTCTGGATTTGTAGATCATCCACATAAATGAATCCTGTCAACTACAGGCCCTCACAAATGATCATGGTCGTACACCTGTGAAAAATAAATACACAATAAAATTCATGTAGCTTTATTTATCAAAAGCCTTAAAGGTCCAGTTAATTGGATAGTCATGTATCTCATGTCATCAAAGTAAAATTTCATTCTCCAAATAAGTGCTTCCTCTCAATAATAGACAATTTGATCACATTAAATGACTTCATTGATATGAAAATTTGATGAATCTGTGAGACAACTGAATGAAAGATGTATATATATATTCTCTCTGGTAAAATTGCAATTATGCAAAATAAATGCTTTCAAATGTACTGTACATATATCAAATATATCAATATATTTACAGGTATTGCATTTAATTTTAAAATCAATGCTGAAGTACAAGCAAATTATGTTTATTCAACAATCAAGGGCTCTCAGGAGGCATATAGTATTACAATTATTTCAGAATGATTACATATAAATAATATTAAAGTATATTGTAATATGAAAGAATATAAATCATATTTTTCATGAAGTTACAAATGAAAGATGTACAATACATGTACCACAAGTAAGATACTCATGAAAATGCAAGATTTGCAACATATAATCACAATAGCCTGAAACTGGGTCAAAAATATATACAAATTTCAGTTTTCCCTGAATCTTATAAACTTGCAGTCTTTAAATAATGTAAACATGTAAATTAATTATGTCATTATTGTGTTAGTAATTTTATAATCAATGAAATCCTCAGCTAAATCTTAGACTGGACCCAAAACACCAATAGAACATGAACATATGGAGAAATTTCTGAAATGAAATACAATCAAACCTCATTATCTCGAACTCAATGGGACTTTGAGATATCTAAGGGTTTGAGATAGTGAGGGTAAAATACTTAGAGAACTAGGGATTAATGGGACTTCAAAATCACTTTGACATATCCATGGAATTCAAGATATCGGTGTTCAAGATTCGAACGTTCAATTGTTACAGTATATGACTCACCATAAAGGGCTAAACTATCAAGGTCCCCCCCAAGGGACTGGGAGAATTTTAACACAAATACAGCAAAACCAATAGAATTTATGCAAGAAGCAGATCAGGTAAATGATATTCCAAAAATCTCTTCTATTCCTACATGGTTCACTTTTTATTTCTTTAATGATTATTAATTGTAGTTTTCCAGGCAATTCACTACAGGTAAAATGAGTATATCATTGATGTATCCATAAAATCTCCTGAAGAGTTAATAAATTGACATGGTCAAGTTGGTCTACTTAAAACCTTTAAACCGATCTTAAAATCATGCCATCCAACATTTTTAACTAGTTTTTAACCTGCACTTGTATATACTGCACATGTTGTCACACCTAGCATAAGATGAAGTGCAATAATACTCACGTTGAGGTGATGTATTTATTAGACGAAAGGTAAACACGAGAGATTTGTCCAAACATTTTCATTTCATTAATCAATATCTCTGAATAAAATTAATGGTGAAGCTGTTGAAGAATTAGAGAGGGAGGGGAGTGGGGGAGAGGGTGAAGACGGGGGGAGAAGGGTACCACCCTGTCCACTGGCTCACACAAAAGATTCTAGTTTCTCAAACATAACACACACTGCAAAAAATATTTTGGCAAAAAATGAATTAATTTCATCCATACTGCTTTTACAAATACCATACACATGCATAATGTATATATAGGTACAGATGGACCAATTAATAGGCCTAGGAAGACAACACAATTCTGAGTTGCAATAAACGGTCCATAATAATTTTATTATCCTGAAGAATCTGAATTTTAGAAGTGGAATATATTAACTTCAGGCAAACTTCTTGTGTTTTCCCATTAAAAGACAACACCATTTACTGACATGCTCTGGACCAATCAGACTGATTGTATTATTCTGAAGGAAAATAATATCAGTAGATATTTGGAATATGTGAATCGTGGGTATCAGCAACTCAGTGGTTAGAGTAATGCAGGGGTCTCCGGTTAACTGGTCCAGCCATAAATTTTCTCCTTTCCTGTATCATATCTAACATGTCTAATATGATCTAGTGTAAAGAGTTTTAATACCACTCACTGGCATGAAAGCTGAAAACAAAAACTTAAAATATGTATACAGGGTGCGAAAAAAGCACTCATCTACTCATCTTAAACAAGTGGAAATTGACTGAGGGCAAGTGGATGTCATACCCTGCTTGTCCTTGGTGACAAGTAAAATTTTTGGTGTGATAATTTTTATTCTGTTTGTATATAAGTGTGATATTGCCAAGAAAATGAAACAAAAGATTTCAGTGCTTTCAGATTTAACAAGAGGCTTAGACACTGAATTAAAACAAATATCTTATGCACATCAGAAACAGTTTGAGAAGAAATCTAAAACAAGCTTTAATCTTTTTTTTATTACTTGGCAAAAAAGCATGCAGTTGAATTCGAAGCTTTATAAGGGATGAATAAAAAATCCTGATACGGACAAGTGGGGATGATTTTATACTCATCCCTGGGACAAGTGGTCACTGATTTTTTTCCTCATCCTGGTATATTTAAAACAGTTTGTGCACAGACTATTTGAATATGTTCAGTAAATCTGCAAAACTGGTAAGTTTTTAAAGGAACCCTCAACAGTCACATACATGTGTATAGATCTATCTGTCAACCGCTTCCTTATCCACTTGCTTTTCTATCCAAATCTATTTAATTTCTGCTACCCAAGTCTTCTCTATCTCTTCAAATATGATTCAAGTTAATGGGAGAGGAGAAAAATCTGATGGACCAGACAGGGATTCGAATCCAGGCCCCCTGAATCTCCAGTCAGGTGTTCTACCAACTAAGCTATCTGGCCACCAGCAATTGAACCCATCTGACTGTCATACCAGCTATTCCTGAAAAGTACTTGCATTGTGCTTTCATTAATAAGTAGGCCTACTGCATTGAACGTTAAAAATGGAACGGGGGAAAAAGGGTGGTCAAGGCCATTCTACATTCAACATGATTAACCATGGACTGCATGCTATCCAGTCTGCCTAAAGACTGAATTCATTAATATCTAAAAAGGTTATCTCATTGCTCTTTTTCACAACAATAAAAAAGTTCGCATTTTTGAGTACTCAGGCACATATGTATGTGATAACAATGATTTACTTTAACCTGTCTCGGGCCAATCCCAACACACTCATGACAATGGACAGAGGATGTCAATATTCATCATTTTCACATTAAGCTAAATAAGTATATTTGTCCTTAATATATCAAATAAGAAATTGCAGGAATCTCAGACAAACTTACACTCTTCTACAGATCATAAAGCAGATCTTGGTGACACCCTCTGCCGAACAATCTTTCAATGTTGATAAACAAATATATTTTCCGTCTTCCGAGCCCGATCATAATTTTTGGATCGGCATCTAACACAGTTGAAACATATGTGTACATTAGGTAAAATCACTTGATGTACATGTAGGTGTCAAATGTAGATTATTTCTCTTTCATCTAAATGATGTACTCTTACTTCAGTCAAAAAAAATATATTGTTGTACACTTTTTATGTGTACATGTATAAAAAAAAAAATAAAAAGAATTTCACAATTTTAACAGGAATAGAAAAAAATTAAAAATCAACGCACTATATTGGAAAGCCCCATACCAATACCTCTGATACATGTAGGAATAAACCCCCACCCCACCCTCTCCCCAAAAGGTGCAACATATAAATACACATGTAATATATAGATACTACCTTTTTTTGTTTATAAGAGGTACAGTATGACTGTATATAGCTATGATAATAAATACAGGATTGAGTTTTTAATTTAATTTTAAAAATATTCATTTGAAGGGTTTTTTTCCCGTCGATTAATGGTTATAATCATGCAGTTACATGTTATGTTATAACCATCTCCAAAACGTTTTATTGAAAATATCGTATGCATTCTCATTAAAAATTTACAGATAAGCCATGTCACATTATCAAGAATTTTATAATATGTTCGGTTAAAAGATGGGGAAAATATTATCCTATCCTTGTTTGCTTTCTTTTTTATGTCATTAAAATGGTAACAATAAGGGCAATTGGACTTCATACCTTGAGTATTAACAATAAAATCAATGAATTTAATTTTTGTTATATTATAAATTTAATTTCATTTGTTAAAAATTGATGTAAAATGTCTGTGCTTCAAATAGTGCCATTACTTCAGAAACATACACTTTGGTAACAGAGTGGACAAAAGTTGTATCAGGAAGGGAAAATTATCCTTATAAAGCTGGTATTTTTTATATACCTATTTTGGTTTTATCATTTGTTTTACCTATATTAATGAAAATATTTTAGTTATGCAACAGCATGAAGTATCTATAATCAGAGACGTACATGTATACATGTAATAGACTCTCTTATACGTCTCTGCTACAATAAAAAAAAATAATTAACTGATACACATTTTGACAGCAATTTACAATTAAATTTGGTATCAGGATGGACATAAATTTCTTTCAGTGTCTTGAGTTTACCAGATTTAGCAATATCATGATTTTATCTAACACGTTTTTCTCTTTTCTAAGCCATCTGAGTTAGAAAAAGTCTTGTTTTTGTCTTAATTCTTGATTTCTTTGTCCATCTTGTTAGTTTTGTCCTTCCTGTTACCCCGAGTCCTTCCTGTTACCCCGAGTCCTTCCTGTTACCCTGAGTCCTTACTGTTACCGGTACAAATTCATACTTTAATTTGCTTTGGCAAAGCACCTGTATAATCAAATTACTGTAACTGTTTACTTTAATCACCAAAATAATGTACAAGTATGTTTTTTCTCAGTTATAAACATTCTGCCATAAGGTTGTCATGAAAAGAAACCCATAGATTTTTCTTCTGCTTCGTACATGGTAGGTTGTCATGCTTTCAAACACTCATATTGGATAAATGTCAAGCATCCTGGCATTCAATGATACATTTTCAATTTTTTAACATTATACGAAAGATTAATTGAAGAAAATTTGAAAGAAAGAATTTTTCAACTCTTTTGA